TTTTTGTACAGTTCTTCTGTGTATTCTTGCCACCTCTTCTTAATATCTTCTGCTTGTGTTAGGTCCATACCATTTCTGTCCTTTATTGAGCCCATTTTTTGCATGAAATATTCCCTTGATATCTCTAATTTTCTTGAAGAGATCTCTAGTCTTTCACATTCTGTTGTTTTCCTCTATTTCTTTGCATTGATTGCTGAGGAAGGCTTTCTTATCTCTCCTAACTATTCTTTGGAACTCTGCATTCAAATGGGAATATCTTTCCTTTTCTCCTTTGCTTTTTTCACTTCTCTTCATTTCACAGCTATTTGTAAGGCCTCTTCAGACAACCGTTTTGCCTTTTTGCATTTCTTTTCCATGGGGATGGTCTTGATCCCTGTCTCCTGTACAATGTCATGAACCTCCGTCCATAGTTTGTCAGGCACTCTGCCTATCGGATCTAGTCCCTTAAATCTATTTCTCACTTCCACTGTATAGTCATAAAGGATTTGATTTAGGTCATACCCGAATGGTCTAGTGGTTTTCCCTACTTTCTTCAGTTTAAGTCTGAATTCGGCAATAAGCAGTTCATGATCTGAGCCACAGTCAGCTCCTGGTTTTGTTTTTGCTGACCGTATATAACTTTTCCATCTTTGGCTGCAAAGATTATAATCAATCTGATTTCAGTGTTGACCATCTGGTGATGTCCATGGGTAGAGTCTTCTCTTGTGTTGTTGGAAGAAGGTGTTTGCTATGACCAGTGCATTCTCTTGGCAAAACTCTATTAGCCTTTGCCCTGCTTCATTCCATACTCCAATGCCAAATTTGCCTGTTACTCCAGGTGTTTCTTGACTTCCTACTTTTGCATTCCAGTCCCCTATAATGAAAAGGACATCTTTTTTTGGGTGTTAGTTCTATAAGGTCTTGTAAGTCTTCATAAGAACCATTCAACTTCAGCTTCTTCAGCGTTACTGGTTGGGGCATAGGCTTGGATTACTGTGATATTGAATGGTTTGCCTTGGAAACAAACAGAGATCATTCTGTCGTTTTTGAGACTGCATCCAAGTACTGCATTTCGGATTCTTTTGTTGACTATGATGGCTACTCCATTTCTTCTAAGGGATTCCTGCCCACAGTAACAGAAACAATGGTTATCTGAGTTAAATTCACCCATTCCAGTCCATTTTATTTCGCTGATTCCTAGAATGTCGACATTCACTCTTGCCATCTCCTGTTTGACCACTTCCAATTTGCCTTGATTCACGGACCTAACATTCCATGTTCCTATGCAACATTGCTCTTTACAGAATCAGACCTTGCTTCTATCACCAGTCCCATCCAAAACTGGGTATTGTTTTTGCTTTGACTCCATCCCTTTCATTCTTTCTGGAGTTATATCTCCACTGATCTCCAGTAGCATATTGGGCACCTACCGACCTGGGGAGTTCCTCTTTCAGTATCCTATCATTTTGCCTTCTCATACTGTTCATGGGGCTCTCAAGGCAAGAATACTGAAGTGGTTTGCCATTCCCTTCTCCAGTGGACCACATTCTGTCAGACCTCGCCACCATGACCCTACCATCTTGGGTGGCCCCACACGGCATGGCTTAGTTTCATTGAGTTAGACAAGGCTGTGGTCCTGGGATCAGATTGGCTAGTTTTCTGTGATTATGGTTTTAGTGTGTCTGCCCTCTGATGCCCCTCTCACAACACCTACCGTCTTCCTTGGGTTTCTCTTACCTTGGACGAGGGGTATCTTCTCACGGCTGCCCCTGCTGACCTTGAATGTGGAGTAGCTCCTCTCTGCCCTCCTGCACCTGCGCAGCACCCACTCCAAGCCTATTATCCAAGTCTTAGCTCTTCTCACAGGCCTCATTTGCTGTCATTTGAGGGTTATACATGGACTTCTGAAAAAACTTATTTCAGTGACTCATCTCTTTCACCCAGATGAGATTAAGCACTCAGGTGGGTTTCATTGGCAATCTGAGCCTGCCTCCATAACTGTTAACATTCTTTTCTACCCTCAAAAGTTTGCTTGTGACACTCTGCTAAGATATAGCAGAGTTATGGTTTTTTGGCTTTATATTTATTTTTTTCCTGTGATTTCAGCGAAATTTGGGGAGAGTAGAAATGTAACTGACATGTTCCATTACGTTTTGTGAGCCAGATCTGTTATCCTTCAGTCAGTCAGTTCAGTCGCTCAGTCATATGACTCTTTGTGACCCCATGAAATGCAGCACGCCAGGCTTCCCTGTCCATCACAACTCCCAGAGCTTGCTCGAGCTCATGTCCATTGAATTGGTGATGTCTGTTATCCCTAGGTTTATAACAAACTGATTTCCACTTTTCTGGTTTCTTAAAATACAAATCAGGACCTACAACTTCTCTCTCAAACCAGATAACACAATTCAATTTTTTTCATTTCTTATTTTACTTTCTCCACACACTCCATCTTTTTATCTCCAAGTATCTTGAATTTGGTTACAAATCATTTTGAATTATGACACTTCCTGAAAGCCAACTAAGGACCAGATGCCGCCTTTGGATATTGAGAAAACAAGTGGCTTCCATCTGAGGGGGTTTCATGATAACTTCATACTAACTTTATATAAAGAGGTACAAGAAAGATACTGAAACGCAAAGAGTTTACTAAGATTTTACAATTTTGGAATGGAAGTTTCCTCAATATGATAGAAAGGTTTGAGTGGGTACATAGCAGTGGTGGTTTGGGTGAGGGAACTAAAGGTTCAGAGAGATCAGAGGGTCAGAAACGTTGCATTTTTAGCAGTGATGAAGAACACAGAAATATGAGGTTGCAATAACTATGGTTGTGGTGGAATGTCTTGAGGCACTCGAGGCAGCCCAGCTTTCAGGGAATCTGACTAGTCATCTCTATTCCTCTATTCATCCTGGTCACTTGCTTACATTCTTTCTTTGGTCTGGAACTTGCGTCTCTTTTTCTCTCTTCTCCAGCGCAGCTCAGACACTATGTCTGGAGCTAAGTGAGACTTTTGGACTTAACCTGGTAGTCCAGTGGTTAAGAGTTCATTTGCCAGTTCAGGAGACACAGGTTTCATCCCTAGTCTGGGAAGATTCCATATTCCCTGGAGCAACTAAGGCCATGGGCCACAACTACTGAGACCAAACTCTAGAGCCTGTATACTTCAGTACTTCAGCTAGAGAAGCCACTGCAATGAGAAGCCCACAGACCACAATGAGAGAGTGGCCTGCTTGCCGCAACTAGAGAAGGGTGTACAGCAACGAAGACCCAGCACAGCCACAGATACATAAAATTTTAAAAAGCAAAAAATAAATAAATAAATAAATAAAAACGTTCTTTAGGAAGACTTCTCTTAGCATGTGTCCTTTTTCTCTGGCAGCCCTTTTCACAATAGGTGGTAATTGCTCACTGACTTCCTCAACTATATCTTAAGCTCTGGCAGGGAAAAGATAACTCTTGCTGAAGGTACAGCCTCTATGTAATCATACCCTAAATTGCACTATTAAGTATTTATTATTTTTTCAAATTTAGTATTATAAAATTCAATTACAGCTCACAAAAGAATTCAACACGTTTTCTTTAAAGAATAAGCGCCCCTACTGTATTGCATGATTTGCTCCTTCTATATTTCATTTACAGTCCTTCCTAACTCTGTATTTCCCTGTGCTACAAACATTATCACTCAATATATATCTGGGAATGCATAAACAATCAGCTTTATTCTAATCTTCCTTTCTCCTTGATATAGAAACACGTAAAAAGTATTAATACTGCTCAGATTCTAACATTTTAACATTGTTTTTTAAAAATAGCTACCCTGTATATGAATAAGTGTGGCATTTGAAACTGCTGAAGAACTGAAATGCAATTGTACATACTCTCCTCGTATTTTTACGGATTTAAAAATTCGTCTTAAAAAATAAATTATTTAAGTGTATGCAAAGCACTATTCCACATTCATGGAGACACACGCACTGCTCTGTCCTGTCAGAAACAAACACTGACCTACGTATTTGGACTGAGAGCCCAGCATAAGGCATCTGCAGGCAGCGGGTTTGGGAAGGCTCTCTGTTGCCGCTCGGCATTACTCGGCTCCTCTCGGCTTCTCCTCGGCTTTGCGTTCGGCTTCACTCAGCTCCGTTCGCCTCCTCCTCTCGGAGACACAGCTGAGGCGACTCGCGCGCACGCGCGCTCAGCTTCTGCTGCTCTTAGGGCCGCTCTCTAGCTCGTGTTTTCACTTCCTTCTCTTCAGAGCTGTATCCGGGTCGTTGTTTTCTCTATTGTCAGACAACCGGCCTCGGACTGTGCGGATTCAGGGTCTTTTGTTGCTTTTGTTTGCGGGATAATAAAGTTTTTCTCTCCTTTATTTTTATCTAAGCGTTTTAACGGGGTAAATTAACTCCTCAGGGCTGCCGGGTTGGCCGCGCTGCCTGGGCCGGAGGGCGCCTTTGGCCGGGAGGCGCCAAAGGAAGGCGCTCGGGCGGCCGGGGTCGGTTCTGCTAGGACCGGGGGCCGGGGGGCGGGAGGGGAGCGGCGGGGCTGCACCTGGGGCGCCCCGGTCAGGTCCGCGCCGCCGCCTATTTTTAATAGCATCTTTTGGACTTATTTCCTTGGTCTCAGTCCTCGACCTCGGCGCTGCCTGTGCTATCGCAGCCTCTCCCTAGGTCTCCAAACCACCACCTCGGATTCCTTAGTAAGTGTGTCGGAGGCGTCCGCGGGGAGACTGGTCCATTTCAGCCCTTCAAGAAGTCGGGGCCGGCGGGGGCAGGGCGGGGGCGGGAGAGTCCCGTGGGAAGATGTACCCTCCGCGGACGCTCCCCCTCCACGATCCGTGGGAATGGACATAGTTTTTTATATTCCCTGGGCTTTGCATTTTCTATTGACTGTTAACGATGTCTTAGTGAGGGATTACAGGGAGCAAGTCTCAGAAGCAAGATGTTCAAGAGGGCCAGTTTTGATTTTGGTCGCCCTGGGCTCGTATTTGCTGCGCCTTGGGGCTGAACCTGCCCACGGAGCCGGCCGGCCAGCCCCAGTAATCCCACCCCAACCTTCCACCACACCTTTTGCTGAGAACTGAATTAAGACAAAGATTTGCACCACCTGCGGGAGGTCATCTGTACCTTCCTTCAGCACCACAGCGCTCCCTCGCGCTTGGTGGGATTATGAATAACGTTGTAATGTTTTTCTTTTAACAGTGGATCGCAGCTCCAAGAGGAGGCAGGTGAAGCCTTTGGCAGCTTCTCTGCTAGAAGCTCTCGATTATGATAGTTCAGATGACAGTGATTTTAAAGTTGGAGATGCTTCAGGTAAACGTTTATTTCTCGCTTCCCTTTTCCCAGCTCTTTGGAGTTTGGCTGATTTTCAGACGTTGCTTAAAAAGAATGGATTTTAATTAAAATGTCAATATAAAGTTAAAGCACATAAACTTAATTTTGTCCATTTGATTTCCTACATTTCCCTTAGAGCGTGTCAGTGGATAATGCTAACTACTTCTGTTTTTGTTGCTATTTATCAGATAACTGTCAGAGAAGGATTTATTTCAAAGATGCAGTAATATTGTAAATCTCCTATACCTTAATAAAGGCTTCCCTGATAGCTCAGTTGTTAAAGAATCCGCCTGCAATGCAGGAGACCCGGTTCCATTCCTGAGTGGGGAAGATCCGCTGCAGAAGAGACAGGCTACCCACTCCAGTATCCTTGGGCTTCCCATGTAGCTTGGCTGGTAAAGAATCTGCCTGCAATGTGGGAGACACTGGGTTGGATCCCTGGGTTGGGAACATCCCCTGGAGAAGGGAAAGGCTACCCACTCCAGTATTCTGGCCTAGAGAATTCCATAGGCTGTATAGTCCATGGGGTCACAAAGAGTCGGAGACGACTGAGCAACTTTCACTTTCATACCTGAATAAACACCAAACAAAAAGACACAGTGGAAAACAAAAAGACACAAAGATGCAGAAGTGTTTATTCTGTTGTTTACTTAAAGATACATTTATGCTTCTTTTATGGACAGAGTGGGGAAAAATCTAGAGGTAATCTTAAAGTAGAGTACAGTTCTGAGAGTAATTTAATAGGAGAACTTGAACCACCCAGGCACAGAGTTTGTCTTTTAAGGTTGCTTGGCACCCTCTGAAAGGAGTTTTGCTTTTTGTCTCCCTTACCAGCGTAGAATTGACAAAAGTAAAAAGTTGTACTTTGGTAGGGGCCTTTAAAAAGCATGCATGTGTGCTCATTTTGTGATTTTAAAAATAAACTTTTAAAAAAAGTCATAGGGTAATATACACAACTGAAATCATATAGTAACATTGTACACAATTGAAAAATGGAAAGATACGTTTTTCCTTTTATCTTTTGTTCATTGTAATTCAAGACATGTCTACATAAAAAGTTTTCATTGCAGAAATCTGAGAAATACAAATTATGTTTAAATATTTTATGTGAAAAATACAAGTACACATGAACAATAAAAATTCCACCCCTTTTGACAGGAATTTAAATCAAGTGAGAAATTAAAGCCCTTTTGATTTTATCCTTTTAACAGTTTCAAATTATTCTTCTAGAGAATTTTCAGTGCTTAGTCCTATTTCTCTCCTATTTTTTTTTTTCCTGCCAGATGTGGTAGAAAGGGATGAAATTTGGTTGTGTTGTATTACTGTTTTACTTTTAATAGCATCAACAGGCACAGTTTGCATTGTGATTTACCAACAACTTTTTGTTTCCATAACCTCATTTAATTTTTACAGTAACTTTGGAAGAGATACTATTTTACAGATAAACAGGGGCAATGAGTTTAAAGAATTTGCATGAAGCCAGTTAGCCTAAATGGATCTACTCCAGTTCTTAAGATTCTCAACATTTTTAATGCTTTCACTGCTTAGGTCCTAAAAGATGTAGATGTAGTCTTAAATTGAAACTACTGTACTTACTTATCAAGGTGACTAATTGAGGTTACTCCCAGCAATCAAAAGTTGTAAAGTTTATCTTGTTTGATTTTTTTACCCTTTTATTTCTCAGCTTTTTCATCTCTCACTTGGTTTTTTGTTGTTTGGTATTTCCAAAGAATGGGGAAAAAAGGAAGGGAAAGAAGTAAAATCTAAACCATTTTCAGTGCTCTTATTGAAAACTGTGGCAGAAAGGAGTATCCTTGGCTAGAATGCAGCTTAGGTTTGTCATGTTGAGACTGTAAACTGACAAAAATGGTTGGGTCTCAGAAATGATGACTTATTAGAATACTGTTAGGGAAAAATTCCAAAGCTTAATTTCTTTTAAGTAGTCCATAATTAGTTTTATGACAGTAAATTCTGACTTTGCATATGATTTTTCTCATTTTATTTATTGAGATGTAGCACTTCTCTTTACAAGGGTTAAAATAATCTAATGATTTGGTATCAAGCTAGAGACTCCTCACCTTGTTAAATTTTAATCATGGTTGATGTGAATTATCTGTTATTTGTGAAAGTGGTAGACTGAGTTTTGTTAGGTTGATTTTTTTTTTTTTTTTTAGTCTTCTAAAGCACTTAAAAATGTATACTTTTGGTTGTCTAGTCTGCTATACTTGTAATTTCCTTCCTGGGCCCCAAAGGTCACAAATTTATTTGTGCAGCTCTTGTTATCATAACTGAGAGTTTAGTAGAAAATGGTTTTTTTTTTGAAATGGGTAATAGTAGAAATTGACTTGTATTTTCCACTCTTGGTTAAAGTGTATTGTCTCCCATAGCTGAGATACTAGCTTATCTATACTACCAGCGCTTCCTCTTTGAATTCTTTCTCTTCTCTTTGTAAGTTAATTGGACTCTCATAGGAAATAAGACATTTGAGTTATCACTGTTTTTCAAACATGCTGAAGTTGTGGAATCCCAACCCTACTTAGTAATAGGCGATTAAACTGGAGGTGGAAAAATAGTAACTGAATAGTAATAATCTTTAATAATAGCTTGTAATAATAGTCTTTCTGATCATAGCTTCTTTCAAAGCAGTCTTTAGAAATCACTACTTCTGGACTTCCCTGGTGGTCTGGTGGTGAAGACTGCCCTTTCAATGCAGGGGTTGCTGTTTCAGTCTTTGATTGGGGAACTAAGATCCCATATGTTTCCTGGCCAAAAAAGACCCCCACAAACTTGTTAAAAATGACTAACTCAATAAACTGTTGACTTCCTTCAGACTTAATGTTACAGTGGTTAGAGTGGTGGGCCCCAGTTTTTTAATTGGATTCTATGCCTCAATTTCTTCTGGTATTCATTTTGAAATTCAGCTACAAAACCTTATATTTCTGTATGGCTTTAAGAATAAATATTGAAATTTCTGAAAACTTATGAAATTTCTGAGAAATTATGCAGATAGACATAATTTATTTTTATGCTTCTCAGATAAAATAGAAAAAGGTAAAATTCAGAAAAGACCTGCCAATAAAGTTGGCACGTTATTAGCATCAGTTAAGTGTTACTAGCTTCTACCTTTAGAAAAGTATGAACGGAAAATAGACCATTATTTTATCTCTAATGTGAAAGTAGGAATAAATTTATCATTTTTGATTGAGGACAATCACTAAGTAAATTTTCAAGTTAATCCTAAATAAACGTGTAAGCATATCAGATTTATGGTGGTTACCACCAGAAGAACCATATATAAAAATGTTAGCTGGTACCCTATGAAATTAATCAGCTTTATAGGACTAAAGACAGTTGATTATTGGCAGTGTCATAGTTTGGCTTAAAGTGATTATATCTGAGACTATGACTTAAGACTGGGGATAGGAGACATTTAAGATAGGATTGAATCTGCCTGCAGTTCAAGAGACCTGGGTTAGATCCCGGGGTCGGGAAGATCCCCTGGAGAAGGAAATGGCAACCCGCTCCAGTATTCTTGCCTGGAAAATCTCATGGACAGAAGAACCTGGTGGGCTACAATCCATGGGGTAGCAAGAGTGGGACACAACTTGGTAACTAAACCACCACATGCAACTGGAATAATGTTGAAGATAAATGCATGTGTTACTTTTATTAAACAAGATAAAATAGCAGTGCTGTGTCTCCCCAACCCTTGGCCAAAGTAAGATGGTTAACTTTAGCTCTTGAGCCATAGTTAGTTTTGTTGTTGTTTAGTTGTTCAGTTGTGTCCGACTTTGTGACCCCATGGACGTTAACCTGCCAGGCTTCTCTGCCCATGGGATTTTCCAGGCAAGAATACTGGGGTGAGTTGCTGTTTCCTTCTCTAGGGGATCTTCCCTATCCAGGGATTGAACCCGCCTCTTCTGCATTGGCAGGCAGATTCTTTACCACTGATCCACCAGGGAAGCCCATAGTTAGTTTGGTTGGTCCAAATTGCCAGAAAACAATTTAACCAATAGATTGAGACTAGATTTTGCCTTTGTAGTGTTTTCTGCTTTACTGACTTTGGCTAATGAGCATATCTGGTTTTTCATTAACCAACTGTTGTTTTGCTTAAAAGTTCTTTGCTGGATGTTATGGTGAATTCACAAAGAAATAATGATATTACTGGAATGATTAAATCCAAAGCAGATAGATGTTATAAGGCATGATCTAGTTCCAGTCTGTCAAAGGAGATGTGATTACTTTAGACTGGCTTGATTTAGAAGAATTCATTGAAGAGATGAGAGTTGAACTAGGATGTAAAAGAGTCCCAACCTAGGTGAGGGAAACATGAGGTGTTATGGAGGATGGTAAATGTCATTTATATATGGAGATCAGAATTTGAATAAAAGAACTGTGGGAGAGATGAGCCTGGGAAAATAGAATGAGGCCAAATTGAGGTCTTACATGTCAGACCAGGGTTCGTAATCTCAGCAACACTGGCATTTTGTTTTGGTTAATTCTTTGTTGTGGAGGCTGTCCTTTGTATTGGAGGATATTTAGCAGCATCTCTGTCTTCTACTAACTGCTGTTAACATCTACCCTTCCTAACTCCTACCCCAGTCCTGCCCTTTTGTGGCAACCATTATGTCTAGACATTGCCAAATGTTTTCTGTGGGACAAAATTGTACCCACTTGAGTACCACTGGTCTAGATTTACCCAGAAAATATAAAGTGACACAACTGGAACTATAGTAGGCAGTAGAAGATGAGTTGTGTTGACTGGCTTTTAAAAAGAAATATACTAGATTAGTGTACAGTGTCCCTAGGATGATAGCTGAATAACTCCTAGACTGGTGATGTGTCAGTTATCTGTTGTATATGTGTATAATCCTAATTATTGTTACATCTGCTCAATAAACAGAATAGTTAAATAATTAAGATTGATGAACAAAGATGATTCTTTATATTGCAAAACTATCATAAAACTGAATTAAATCATTCTGATTTAATTACTTAATATTTATTAACTGATTCTATTATTTAATATTTATCATGGGGAAAACTTAAGCATTTAATATTGAAGGGATTCTTTAAGGTTGATTTCTAATTTCTTTAACTGTAAAACATTTAACTGTCTGTTCATGGAAATAGCTGTTGCTTGGAGAGGTTTTGATATATTGTATTTGAGAAAGGTTACCATTAATTTAACTGACTTGGAGGTAGGGATTTCAATTTTAAAGATTTTTTTTCTCAAATTTTTTATTGTAGAATTAGAATTAATTCTATTCTTATGTCCACAATAGCTGTATTTGAAATATCTGGTTTATTTCTCTAGTCTATTATTAGTTTTTCTTTTTTTTTAATGCTTGTAAGAGTGATGGACTTGGAACATTGTTTGAATTTTTAGGAATAGGAAATTTTTCATTGCAGTCTACAAAAATACAATTATAGATAGCCCAGGACTCTTATTTTTCTCATTGTCATTAGTACTAAGTAATGCCTGTGGCTAAATATTGTTTGTCTCCATCCCCCAAGTGCATATTTACCAAAAAGAAGTTACAACTAATCAGTTGAAGTTATTTTTCAGAAATCAGAGAAAAGTAAAATTTGATAATACCTGATCCCCTGCATTTGGAATATGGCTAATGTGTTATATTTGGAGAATGGAGGGTTGGGTAAGCTACTAGGATTGGAATTTGTGGGAAAATCTCAGATTATTCTAATAATGTTAACAAATATAAAACATTTAACTAATATATTTAAGATTCTGCTTTCTATTCAGGCATGATAACACAAAAACAAATTCAAAGAGTACTTTTAAAAATAATTTATTGGCATTGGCAAAACAACCAAAACAAAATTGTAGAAATTCTTGACATTTTGTAAAATTTCCAAGTAATGTTTACCAAAGTTGAAGCAGTCTTGGTTTTGATCAGGAGCCCATCTTTGTGCCCCACTTGATCATTTTTTTCTATCTACTATTATGTGTTTACTGGTAAAAGTTTTTAGGAGTACTTTTTAATTAAGAAAAAAATTCTACAAGGTTAATCCAGAAGAAAAGTACCTTTTCTCCATTTCCCAGCTTTCTTAATTATAATTAATTATATTTACTTATAATTAATTATAATTAATCTGCATTGCTTGCAGGATGTTCTAGTTTTCTTTAGTCAGTATGCACAAAGATCCATCTTTGCCTCTGAAGCATTTGGTTAACTCTGCTTATTATTTATTATATCTTTATCTGAAAATGAGCTTCACTGGTGGCTCAGAAGGTCAAGAATCTGCCTGAAATGCAGGAGACCTGGGTTTGATCCCTGGGTCAGGAAGATCCCTGGAGAAGGAAATGGCTAGTATTCTTGCCTAGAGAATCTCATGGACAGAGGAGCCTGGTGGGCTACAATCCATGGGGTCGCAGAGTTGGACGCTACTGAGCAACTTTCACTTTACTTTCACTTTTATCTAAAATTACCTAGGAACTATTTTTTTTTTTAACCAGAGGTATTTTTTCTTGGTAGTTTGAGTCTAATAGTTGTGAGTGGTGTGAAAAGATCACCATTTTTTTCTTTAATGATTTGTAGAGCTGTTGGACTTTCCCTATTTTTAAGTGATACTGGGTTCACACTCTTAAAATTTGCTCACAAATTCAAAGATATTTCCTGTGTTTGATATAAACTTATTTGATGATAAAATCTGACTGGAACTGATAGGAGTTTATTTGTACGGTTTACTTATCATACTTGTAAATCTTCATACTTTTCACTGCAGAAAGAATGTGTTTGATTATAGCATAGTACCATAGACCTCGCTGGTGGTGTTAGTGTAATATATTGTGCATGCACCATGCTATGTTTGCAGAATCTGAAAAAAAAAATCTAAATTCTGAAACACATCTGGCTCCAAAAGTTTCAAACAAAGGATTGTTGGCTTACATGATACTACTCTTGTGGCCTTTGCAAGATTGTTCAGGTTGAGAATGCTTTTTTCACTGCAGTCCTGAATGAGATATAGGCACTGTATGATAATCCTGAGATTGACAGTGCTTTTACAGGCTCAATCAGCATCGACTAAATGTTAGTCTGTGTTTTTTATGTGATTTAACTTTCAGGATTTTTCTTCATGAGCTGTTTGCAAAGGATTTCTGATATGTTTTAGAAACCAGATACTAATAACAGACAACTTTCTTTACTTTGAACGCCCAGGTAATTATAGAGGCTAATGCTGGTTGAGTTAACTAAAATTAAAATGGTGTGAAAATGTGAATTTTTTTCCATGATTTTATGATTACCCTTTTCTTGGTTATAGGTACAAAATATTCATCACCCTACAGATTTTACTATTGATGTTGGCTACGACCTGATTATTGACTGGTTTGTTTCCTACTTCTTCCTGCTCTCCTTCCACAAATATTTTAGATTCTTATTTATTTAATTATATGTAAAGAGGCTTGGAATGCTAGTGAATACTGTTGCTCTAACAGGGTGTGGACTGCCCTAGGCTGGAATGGATAGCACTTGCTAGGAAGCTTATGGTCCTGCATGAACTCTTAATATCCTCAGCCTATCTTTTTAGTGACAACTGTGCTTGCTCTTGTCTAAGACGGATTAGTTTTTAAAAAATGCACTAATTTCTTTCAATCTAGGGACTCTAGTACTTAATGCCTAGAACCTTTGGAAGTTTAGGTGACTCTTTTGTTGATATGAACAGTATCCTAGTAAGCAGAAAAATTGATAACTTAAATCTTGCAGCCTCCATTTTCTGTGCCATTGCTATTGTCTGTTTTTTCCTTGTGTATTTGGTGCTCCTAAATTTGATTGGTATATTAGAGATATGGTACAGGCTGACTGTCATAAATATCTGGGCTCACTTTTGCTAGGTAAAGAGTGAGGTAAATGAAACAGGTTTTTTTTTTTTGGGTCAGATTTTTCTTGCTCTGACTGTGACTCCATGCTTGCCAGTCCATGTAATTTATGAAAGAAAGATGTAAGAGAAGAAGAATGTAATCTGTATTATAAAGTTAAAATCAAGTGCTCAATTTAAAAAGAAGCACATTTACTTTTAGAAAAAAAAAAATGCCTCTAAAGTACCAAGTATAGTGTGAGATGTATGACACAAAATAGTGGTCCTCGTTTTAGAGTATGTTTTAATTTAGAGTTACATATATTCATCTTCATTAGTGCTATACTAAACTAGAATCATTATATCAACTTCATTGGTTTATTATTTAATCAGGTTGGGAATGTCTACCATTCTTTGACTTAAATTTGTTTATATTGTTTTGCAAGTTATTCACAAATTTTGGTGGTTTCATTTGTGTCAGCGTTGTGTGTGTGTGTGTGTATGTATATACATATGTGTGGTTTTTTTTCTCATATTTTCAACAGATTCTGAAGGGAGTGGTAATGGAAGTGAAGATCCTTCAAAGGACAGTGGAGAAGGTTCCTGTAGTGATTCTGAAGAAAATATTTTAGAGGAAGAACTGAATGAAGACATTAAAGTAAAAGAAGAACAACTTAAAAATTCTGCAGAAGAAGAAGTACTGTCATCAGAAAAACAGTTAATTAAGGTGGAAAAGAAAGATGAAGAAGAGAATGGAGAAAGACCTAGAAAGAAAAAGGAAAAAGAGAAGGAGAAAGAAAAGGAAAAAGAGAAAGAGAAGGAGAAAGAAAAAGCAACAATATCTGATAATGTGGCTGCTGCTGCTGCTTCCACCACGCCAGCCACAAGTCCTCCTGCTGCTAACACATGTCCTTCAGTCCCCACTACTACAACTACTGAGGAGCAAGTCAGCGAGCCAAAAAAGTGGAACCTTCGTCGGAACCGACCACTTTTGGATTTTGTATCCATGGAAGAGCTGAATGACATGGATGACTATGACAGTGAAGATGACAATGATTGGCGACCCACTGTAGTAAAAAGAAAGGGAAGATCTGCATCTCAGAAGGAAGGAAGTGATGGAGACAATGAGGATGATGAAGATGAGGGAAGTGGGAGTGATGAGGATGACAATGATGAAGGCAATGATGAAGATCATAGCAGTCCTGCCAGTGAAGGGGGCTGCAAGAAGAAGAAGAGTAAAGTTCTTAGCAGAAACAGTGCTGATGATGAGGAACTGACCAATGATAGCCTGACACTATCTCAGAGCAAGAGTAATGAGGTAGATCAACCCAATTTTTATGATATCTGTCTGTCTGGGGAAAAGGGAATTCTTCTCTAAACCATTCTACCCATTATATTAAGTGGCTTCCTTGAAATCCTGTTCTTAGACAGCTGTGGGAGTGAATGAGCACCCTAACTGTAACATTTATTCATTTGGTCAGCCCACTTTTATTCAGTATCTCCTATTTGTCACCACCCTCAAGGAGCTCATAATCGCTGTTCTCAAAGAGCTCAGTCTATACTTAAATATTTTTATGTCCATATCCTTGGGAAATGGTAGTTTTTTCCATTTTCTGTCCCCTCAGTCCATTGTTCATTGGCTCTGAGTGGGTTATGAAAACAGAGATCACCTTTCTTTCAACTTAGCTGTATCCATGTCTGCATAAAAATTTAGAGTACTTTTAAGAGTACTTTCAAGTAGAGCGACAAAGAATTTAATTGTCTCAGGCTTTTAGAGATTCATTTTAGAGGTAATTCCTTTTTTAGTTGTAGCACCCTCCTGAATAGTCACCAGACCATTGCTTTAGGTGTGTGGAAGTAAATACAAATTACATATTTATATATGTTTAGTGAATAAGTTCTCTCTACAAAAAAATGAAAACAAACATTCTATGCTAAAACAAACATTACTATCATAAAACTACAATAATGACTCAGTTCTTCCACTTGAAGTTCTGCTACTGAAAGTTAGGTTTACCCATTGGGCCCAAGATGCAACATTCAAGACTCTTCAAACACATTTGTATCTCTTTGTCTGTGTGTTTATGTATATGTTTTTCTTCAAAAGAAAGACTGAATTGTTGTCTTACATGTAGATGTATCTGTTACATCACATGAAAGAACTATAATGATTGTCTGTCATTCCATTAATGTGTTGATAGTCATGAAAATTCACTTCTTTAACAAGCACTTATTTTTTGTTTTTTTTATGTTATTGAAGTAGATTAAATTGGTAGAAAGCTTTTCCTTTTATGCTTTAGTTGTTCTTTTACATTTCTTCTGTTTACGAGTTTTACATAACAGTGATTTTCTATTTTAAGTTTCATTTGAAAATTTGATGTTTAACCAAAATAATATGTAGCAGATTAGGTGTTAAATGTCAGCAGAGATGAAGCAGTAGTTGATGTTTTAGATTATAACATTGGTTATATAACTTCTAGGTTGCCCATTTTCCTAAGAAGAATGTTGCCTGATTCCAGTGCTTTCCTAATTCCTACCTTTAGGTAAAGGAAAATTGTCATTTGGAATATAGTATACTATTCATAATGATGTAGCAAGACAGTCTGTATTTCCAATTTAAGGAAACAGAAGTATGGAAAATCCAGTTGTTCGTAATTGATCCATCTTATCCAATTTATTTTATAGCACTTTATGCTAGTCTATATCTCCTGACTAAGTTTACCTTTGGCAGTATCACTTTCTTCATTTTTATTAGCATGACAGTCACACAAGGAGGCTGGCTAGTGACAGGGGCCGTATGAATTGGATTTATGCTTAAGTGTGAGGGAATGTCTAGAAATTTGCTATGTAAAATCTGTGTAAATTTTCCAGTTGTTAATAATCTGTACTATATAGCACATTGCTTGAGAGATTGTAGACTATATTTTATGATACATATAAAGGTGATATGTGCTGTTTAATTTTTTTCTGCTAAACAGAAGAGATTTTGGTAAATAATGGGGCTTTATTTAGGTTAATAGTCCCTAAGGAATGAGATTCCAGAGCATTTCTTGGGTGAGTGCTTTGATAAAGTTGTCAAGAAAGTTCTTCTTATAGTAACTAAATTAGTTCTTTTTGTGTTAATTTGTGTTAATTTTCCTTTTGCTCCACACTGTATAGAAATGTAGAAGAATTTATGGAAGATTAATTTTCCCTCAATAATATTCTACCTGAAAGCTTGGTATCTGTTTTTTTCTAAGACTGTTTTTCAAACTCCTCAATTATTTTTGATGATTCTGGTTCTACATAAATGCCATTCAAATTAATGTTAAATTTTAATAGAAAACTAATAAATTCAGTTTATGTTTCTAAATTTCCTATTTGTATAATCTTGATTTTATAAAAAGATGATTAAAAATAATCCTTGTTGTCTGACCAGTGTTTGAACTTTAATATTCCTGGTTAATTTATGTAGTGATACCTTGTCAAGCATTCATTAGTTAATAACTATATATCCAATTATATTTGAAAATTTATTTTTCTATGCTTTTACTTTGTTTCAAATACTACTTTGTAGTAGAGATGGCTGAAAATATAGTTTTAGAATACGTAATATAATTGTATTTAGCCTGAGTGCAGGCAGATTATTTTTCTTGGCTTCTGTCAGGTGCATTTTTAGGGCTGTGATATTGGGTATTATGTAAATGATGCCCAGGAACTTTCATAATTTTGAAGTTTTTTAGGGGAATTTGACATTCTTTTTGAGTGGAGGCCTTTTATAATTATTGGCTCTTAATGGTCTTACTCTGTGTATGCTGTAGGCCTTGAAATGCTCTAGAGCAGTGATTCTCAAACTTTTTTGTTCAGGATACCTTTATACTCTTAAAAATTGAGTACCATAATTATTATTTATATAAGTTATATCTTTTGATATTTGCCATTTGCAATTAAAACTCAGAAATTTAAAAAAACGAAATGTATAGAAGTTGTTGGGTTGGTGACACCATCCCATGTCATGTAACTTCTGGAAATCTTCATCGTATACCCGTGAGAGAGAGTGAAAAGGCAAACATCCATAGTATTTACCTGTTAGAACCCCTGAAAAGAGAGTTCCCTAGGCCACAATTGGAGAACTACTGTTCTAGAATTGGGCATTTGATAACCTGCATTTTCTTCACATGGGCGTATCTTTGTCACTGGCATTATGGCATTTTTTTGAATTTAAGTGCAATCTGAGCAGTACTTTTGGTATATGGTTACATGTCTTTTTCATCCTTTTATTTTGAAGTTTCTGAGATTCACTAAGGTTATCTTACCTTTTAGTTTTCTGAAGTAAGTTTTTTGGGGGGAGGGCTGTATAGTATTTTAGATAATGGTTCCCGGACTTTGAAAGAAGCACTTTGGGTGAGAATTAATATATGATAGAAAATCATCTTAGTAGAACTTTTCAGGTGTAAGTTCCCCCCCACCCCGCCCCCATAACAGGCTCTGTTATGTTAAATGGATTAGATGTCTTACTGTGTGAAGAGATTGTTGTCATCTGAATTTTCCTAATTTTGCCTATTTCTGTCTCTTTGTATTTAATTTTTAGTAAGAGTCTGCAATGATGGGTATCAGCCAGAATTGCCAGTTAACTTTGTTTTCTCTGCCTCTATATGATAATATGTGTAGAGAGAAAATGGAATAGAGATATAATTAAGACATTTACTTTTTTTCCTGAGCAAAATGGACAAACAGGCAAATAATAGAATTAGAGCTACTGCCTATTGATGTTTGTTTTTCTGATTGTTAGACATTTACTTATTTCCTACATGGGTTAATCTTTTTTTCAAGGACTAATTAGTTACTGTAATTCCACCAGAGAAATACAGGCAGAGTGCATTAACATGAGTAGCTTCTCAGTCATCAAACTCTGGTCATTTGCTCACTGTTTTTTTGGTCTATTATTTTTTTAATCTGGATGTGGTATTCTTTAAAAAAAAAAATGGATTTACCATAGGAAAATATTTAAACTAGCAGTGCTTATTGAGGCTTATAACTTTCCTTTTGGGATTCAAGGAAGATTCCCAATGTAGTAACTGGTCAGCTCATATTTCTGTTTTTGGACCATCTTCAAAGTACAGAAGAAAGGAGAATGGGAATGATCATTTATTGAATACCTAGTATGTATCAGGAACATTTTTGCCATGTTTTCGTGTTAATTCTTACAAGAATCTGATGAGGTAGGTATTATTTTTGTCATACCATTTTACAGGTGAGAAAGCTTCAGCTTTGAAATTTGGAGATGAAAATCTGGGCAGATTTTTGTTTTGCTCACTGTACTAAAGTACTTTAAAACATGAGTTTTCTTTTTAGGAAATTTTAACCTTATTTGCTAGCCACATGCAATGCCCCAGACTACTTTGGTTTTATAACAAAAGGAGTGAAGTAGAGAATTTTAAAGTGCTAGAATTCTCAAGAGAAATGACATTGCCTCCTTGTTAACTTTTGCATTATTTTCTGTTTTTTTTTTTGTCTAGGTCAGCTGCAAGTTTAGATTAATTACGCAGAAAATATCTTGAAAGAGTGTTATTAATTGTGACAGTCGTGTCATTCAGATGTTATTTACAAATTGCTGTTGAAATTACTCTAAGTGTTACCTGTGGATATTGGTCAGTTTAAAAGAATATAGAAATATTAAAATGTTAACATGAAATAATATATTTAATGTGTGATATGGAACTAATTTATTTTGTTTCTGAATATGGTTAGGTTATTAAAATATATAGACTCAGATGCCATCTTTTATTACATGTAATGCTAAACTCAGTGCATTAAATAGCAGATATCATTACCTTGTTAATTTGTATTTAAAGTTTAAATTCATAATGCGGAAGGTTTAAATTAAATGGAGCACCCTCTTCCTTTTTTTTTTTTAATATTCCTGAATGCATTTTCCTTTCTTTTATATTTCCATTAACTAGGTGTTCACTAGGTATTTCTTGACAAAAGGCTAATAAAGTTGTCTGACTCTTCTAGAAGTCAGTCTGGATCCTTTTTTAGATGATTTTCTGTACCTGTATACACCAATTTCCAATGCAGACTTTCATGGATCTATCATCCAGCAGTTTGATGACTCTGGAAATTCTAGATTTCCCACCACTAAAGGAATTTAGTCTGTAACTATGCCATCACATACATATTTGCCTATATGCTATCTTGAATTGATTTTTTTTTTATTATTTAATATGTGTGTGTCTTGTCTCCCCTAGAGAGGATTATAAGCTTGCTAAGTGTAGGAACCATTCTTACATTTTTAAGACTCATAGAATTAGTGATTACTTGTGGGTTAATTTTACCTTTCTCCGAGTTTCAGGAGTCAGGCTATATTCAGAATGGCAAAGCAGGTGAAGAGTTGTTGGTTATAAGCTTGGCTTTATATTTATTTGGGAAGAGAGAATATGGAACTTGGAGAGAACTGAAAAATCAGAGAGAGGGCTCTTAGAGGGTCCTTTAACAAAGAGATCTACTTCTCAAATGTGGCGCACTTGGGAATTACTAAAATAATGGAGTATGCAGCATACTTTTGGAAATGCACACAATGATTTAAGATGAGAATTTTATTAGAATTACCTTTTAAATATGTTATTTTCTGATATTTTATTATTAGGACTCGCTGATTCTTGAGAAGAGTCAAAACTGGAGTTCTCAAAAAATGGACCATATTCTCATTTGCTGTGTTTGTCTTGGAGATAATAGTGAGGATGCTGATGAAATAATTCAGTGTGACAATTGTGGCATTACAGTTCATGAAGGTAAATTTGCTTTGTTTTGTTTCCTTTTAGAAATGACTGGTTGACACTACATTTGTATAAGTAATACCAGCTATTTTACATATGTACTATACTAATTTTTCTATAATATTTTATGATATTTAACCTGCAGTAAGACATACTGAATTTTCAAATTATGATGGGTATTATTTTTTCAGATTAGGTTCATTTAAAATGTGTTTTAAAATAATCAAAATAGATTATTACTGTACATAAATCATTATTTCTTTGAAGGTCAGTACTATGATATTTTCTTTTATGGCATTATTTAGTTTTTAACTGAAATTTAGGTATAGGGAAAAGTCTAGTATGTTCGTTTAGTAGAGTGCATTCTTGAAAAAGGTACAGTTGAGTCTAGTGGTATATAGTTTCTTCTTTCATAGTTATAATTTTTAAGTTGAAAGGGGAATTTGTAGAGATCATCTTTTAGAATCTGAAATAGGAGCCATTGTTATATATTGAAAGTATTTTTCCTGATTATGAATTTTGAACCTTTTTAATATAATTTTTGTTGTATTTTATTTAAAATGTTTTATTTTGACATAATTTCTTACTTGTGAATTTCTGTATGCTCTTCACTAAGATTTGCAAGATGGTGATGTTTATCTATGTATGTTTTATCTTCTGTCATATAAAAAATTTTCCCTCACCTCTCTGAGAGTAAACTGTAGACAGAATGTTCAGCTCTACCTCTAGTGCCTTATTGTGTATTTCTTAAGAACAAAGATCAAGGACATTCATTCTCTTACAAGGTCACATAATTATCAAAGTCAGGAAATCACCATTGGTAGAACACTGTTATCTAGTCTATGACTGTATTCACATTTTGCCAATCATCCTGATGATGTTGATTCTAGCAAAAGAAAATCCAGGATTATAAACTGGATTCAGTTGTCATATCTATTTAGTTTCCTTTAATCTAGAACATATTTTGAGTCTTTGTGTTTCATGCTGTTGACATTTTTGAAGAATACAGGCCAGTTCTTTTGTAGGATGTCCTCAATATTGTGATTTTCTTATGTTTTCTCCTGATTAGGTTCAGGTGCTAACCTGATGCTTTTGGCAGAGTGCCTCAGAAGTTATCTTGGGCTTCCAATGTATTAGGAATCATATAATGTTTATTTGTTCAGTTACTGATGATGTTGTTTTGATCACTTTGTTGAGAGGGTGTCTTCTAGATTTCTCTGTAGTAAAGTTATTTTTTTTCTGCTGTCAGTTAATTTTTTCTTATCAGAGTCATGACTACTACAAAACAGTGTTTCTATGGCCTTGCCCTTACCTGCCTTTCTGGTATTGCCACCTCCTCCCAAATAGTTTTGGGTGTCTGGTGGACTTGTGAGACCTGTGGGACTTGGACTTCTTTAACCTGTCCTCTTGCCTTCATATGAAGCTCCTCACCCTTGCTGCTAAGACTCACTGTGGGAATGTCTCCTGTTGCTGTTATTTATTCTTTTTTTTTCAGTAGTGTTTGTTAAGAACCTTCTGAGTGCTAGGCATTCTGTAGGTTTCAGGCATGTAAAATAAACAGAATATAGACAGTGCTGACTTCATGGAGCTTAATGTATAGTAAGAGACAGAAATGAAAATATAGTACAGTAATATATATCAGGTGGTGGTCTGGACTGTGGGGAAAAATAAAACAGGAAATGGAATATTAGGAATGCTATGAATGGGGGTTGTTGAGTGGGCAGATGGAATTTTCTATTTATAAAAGCTTATAAGGAAAATCCTCTCTGATAAGGTGATCTCTGAGCAGTGACCTGAAGCATGTGAGTAAGCAAGCCATGTGAATATCTGGGGAAAGAGCACTCAGAGTGAGAGAGTAGTGAGTGTAAAGATGTTGCAGTAGGAATGTGTCTGGAGTGTTTATGTGATGACGTGGAGGTTAGTGTGGCTGGAACTGAGGGCGTGAGCTGCTTAGTGGGGGAGGCAGAGATAGGGGCAAACCAGGTGGGGCCTTGTAGGTCATAGATTTCAGGTTATACTGAGATGGATATGGGAAGACCTAGGTGAACTTCAAGCAGAGGATCAGTATGATATGATTTATGTTTTGGAAGAATCACTGCTGGGTTGAGAGCAGACTGAAGTGTGTCTAAAGTGGGATTCAGGGAGACAGACCATTTTGGAGACCATAGCAATGATCCAAGAGAGGAATAGGTTTACAGGCAGATAGTAAAAGTTTGGTTTTAAACTTTTAGAGTTGAGGTAAGATACAGGGGCTGGTGAGGTAAATTTGGGACTGATCAGCCTGCGGATGTTATTTAAAACTGTGAGCCTGAATGTGCTTACTAGGGAATAGTATAGTGCTTTGAGCACTTCAAGAGGAGTTGAGGAGCACAGGGCCAGTGAGATTGGAGAAGAGCCTTGAGTAGTGACCTGGAGTAATGGCAAGTTTTCAAAATAGATTGTAACTGTCAAATACTGTTTTTAGATTGAGATGAAACCTGTCTTATGGGAAATGACCTTAATGCATGGTAAACTCCAAGTCATTACCAGGCAAGTCATCCCAAAGTTTATGGGAAACAAGGCTTACAGACAAAATGCTTATATCACATTGTTTATTAAATAAATGTAAAATACATAGAAGCAAGGGGGAAAATATGGGTTTAGTTAACATGGTATGTACTGTCAATTCTGCTACATTGTTCACACAGGACCAACCTTAGTCAAATACAGGAGGGGACATTGCAAGAATATTAATACTGGGAGCCATCTTAGGGGCTGCCTACCACAGATGCAGAGATGCTAGTGTGTGGATGGAACGGACCAGTGGAAATGGAAAGTTAGCAATTGATGATGTCAGGAAAGAAAGGGGAACAGTTGCTGGAGCAAGTCCTTTGAGTACAAGGCTAGAAAGGATAGGATCCAACACAAGGGAAGAGATTTAATAGATAAAAAGTGGCATAGTAACTAGAGGGAAAAGAAAATATATGGATACAGAAGTAGGTAGGATGTTGGATGTGGTGGTTAGAACATGTGAAATTGAATGCTTATTTTCTCAGTGAAATAGGAAGCAGCCATTAGCAGAGTGTAGAGGTGGGATGTTGGAGATTTGAGCAGTGAGAGGTTGGTATAAAATAGTTCTTTGGGGGAGTAAATGGATTAGGGAAATACATGCGTAATATTGTGTGTGTATGTATACATACATATATATATATATTCACCCATGTTATGTGTTGTGTGTGTATAATATATTTGTGTATATACTACCAGACAGCAATAAGGGACTACTTGAGCTTAGTGGTAATGATGATAACCTTAGAGCAGGCAACATGGTTGTGTGTATGAGTTCTTTTGTTTCTCCAAGAGTGGTTCAGATTTCCTGGAGAAGTTGCAGAATAGGTGAACACAAAAGGAGCTGCTGCACTGCCACTGCTTGCTGTGCCGGTCGCCGCGGATGGTCACAGATGTGTTACCACTGCCTGCGTTCGTGGCTGTCAGTGCTGATGTGAGATGCAGGCATGACTGGTACTGTTAGTCTTACTGACTATTCATCATGCTGAGGGTGCTGCCTCTGCTTCATAGGTCATGGTTTTGACCATGGATGTGATATTTACGGCTAGCACAATGGTTTTAAGAAATTAAATTGATTGTTAACATTTAAAAACTGAAGATTTTATTTTACGTGTTTTGGAATTTGAACTTCTCTTGAAGTTCTGACAGCAGTTGGTTTTCACTTTTATGGTAACAGTCTCCTGGAGTTGAATAGGGCTGATGAAGCCTTTAATCTTCAGTTTACCACTCTCTTCTATTAAATCCCTTACTCATGTTTGATAGTTGCCTGGTCCTTAGAGATGTTTGGATGTATTTGAGGGTGATGCCTCTTGCTGCTGGTAGTCTGCTATAGCCTTGGGGTCTCAATGTCCCACAGCTTTGGTAGTAAAGCAACTCTTTTGCTATAGCTGCTTACTTTTGGACTCAAGTCTGCATCTCCTGGGGACTACCACCTTGTACAAATCACAATGAACTCTCCCTTCTGACCTTTTATTTATTTATTGAAGTATAGTTGCTTTATAATATTATATTAATTTCAGATGTAAAAAATATTGATTCAGTATTTTTATAGACTATAATCCATTTAAAGTTATTACAAAATAGTGGCTATATTTAGTGGCTGTACTGTACAGTGAATCCTTGTTACGTATTTATTTTATGTATAGTAGCTTGTATGTCTTATTCCCCTATGCTTCTCTGGCCCCTCCCACTTTTCCTCTCCCTGCTGGTAACCATGAGTTTGTTCTCTGTATATTGAGTGTATTTCTGTTTTGCTGTATACATTTGTTTATTTTTTTCAGATTTCACATATAAGTGATAATATAGAGTGCTTAGTCATACGGTCTTTTTCCATATGACTTATTCCTGTACACTTAGTACTCTCTAGGTCCATCCACATTGTTGCAAATAGCAGAATTTCATTCTTTTAAATGGCTGAGTAATATTTTGTTGTGTATACCGGATCTGTATCAGTTCATCTGTTGATGTACTTTTAGGTTGCTTCCATATCTTGGCTATTGTAAATAATGCTGCTATGAACATTGGGGTGCATGTATCTTTTCTAATTTGTTTTTGTTTTCTTTGGATGTATCCCAGTGGTGGAATTGCTGGACCATATGGTAGTTTATTTTTAGTTTTTTGAGGAACATCCATACTGTCTTCTATAGTGGCTGGCCATGCCAATTTACCATGCCACCAACAGTGTACAAAGATTCCCTTTTCTGCAACATTTTTATTCCTTTTTAACTTTTAATTCTGTATCCCTCTAAAACAAGGTCAGCAGCCTATCAGAAGTAAAGTTTTAGTCCTTTACTTATTTTTCTGAATAGGAGCTTTTATGGCTAGTTAATTATTTTAGTTTTTAAGGTCTTTCTCACTGTACACTTGAACTATTGCGGCATCTAAAGTAAATAAGGTTTAAAGTTAAATGAAAATGTCACTTTTACCTATTTCAGTAGTTTTTTTAAAAAATTGTGCTACTCAAAAAG